TAAAACCTTAATTTAAAACAACCTACTTTGGATTAATACCAACTTAATTCCAAGAGCATACAAAAACTTTGCCCCAATATACCTCCATTTGCTCTCCTCTCTTTTGTGCTATTGTTGGAAAAATTACATCTTTACACATTAGAAACCCACTAATACAGTTTTATAATGAATGCTTTATGCAGTTTTCTTTTGAATCATAAGAAAAGTTATATACAAAAATAAATTTATGCTGTGTTTTATATTTACCTAGGTAGATACCTTTACCAGTGCTCTTTATTTTTGTGTGTGGACTGAAGTTACTGTCTAGAGTGTTTTCATTTCAGCCTGAAAGACCCATTTTTTGTTTTTATAGAATAGGTGTTCTAGTAACATTCTCTCAGTTTCTGTTTATCTAGTAATGGCTTAATGACATAAATCAAAGTCTTAACATTGCCTTCATTTTTGCTAGACATACAGTTCTTGGTTGATAAGGTTTTTTTCCCAATACTTTGAATATGTCATCCATTTGAATTCTAGCTTCCATTACTTCTGATAAAAATCAGCTGTTGCTCTTACTGAGGATGTCTTGTACTCAGTAGTCATTTCTCTCTTGCTGCTTTTGAGATTCCACCATTGGCTTTAGACTTCAATACTTTGATTATGATGTGTCTAGTTGTGGGTCTCTTTTGAGTTCACCTTGCTTGAAATTTGCTGAACTTCTTGATTATGCAGATTCATGTTTTTTATCAATTTGGAAATTTTTCAGCCATTATTTCTTCAATATTCTTTCTGCCCCTTTTTCTCTTCTCCTTCTAGGACTCCCATTACACTGTTGGTATGCTTGATGGTGTCCCACAGGCCTCATAGTCTCTTCAGTTTTCTTCATTCCTTTTTCTTTCTGCTCCTCAGCCTAGATAATCTACAATGACCTGCCTATACTTAAGTTAACTGACCTTTTCTTTTGTCAATTCAAATCTGCTATTGAGCCCCTCTCATGAATTTTTTATTCTGGTTATTATACTTTCAGCTCCCTAATTTCTATTTGGTTTTTTCTTATAATTTCTCTTTATCATTATTCTCTATTTGGTGGAACACTGTTCTCATATTTTCCTCTAATTCTTCAGAAATGGTTTCTTTTAGTTCTTTGAACATATTTTAATAGTTGATATAAAGTCTTTGTATACTGAAGTCTAACAACTAGGCTCCCTCTGGGACTTTTTACTGACTGAATTGTTTTCTTCCTATCTAGACCATACTTTTCCTGTTTGGTGTCTCACTTTTTATTTTTGCTTACAAGTGTACATTTTAAACACAATAATTTCCAACTTTGGAAATCAGATCCCCCTTCAAACCCAGAAATTGTTACTGCTAGTTGTTACTGATGATGATGATGATGTTTGCTTAGTGAACTTCTTCCACTAATTCTATGAAGTCTGTATTCCTAGTGGTCAGCTAATAATTGGATAAATGTTCCTTAAATGCCTGAAACTAGTAAGTGTCCCGACCTTTGCTGAGGCTGTGTGTATGCTGGGGCACACCCTCAACACTGGCAGTTTACAACTCTGCCTTTGCCTTCACAAGGCAGAACGTGTTTTCCAGAATCTCAAGGTCAGCCAGAGATGAAAGATTAGGACCTTTCCTGGGCATGCACAAAGCCCTGAACATGTGCATGGCCATATGGAACCCTAGGAATTTGTTGGAGCTTTTCAAAGCACCCTATGAACATCATTCCCAGATTTTCCTATTAAACTGTTTACCGCAACAGGTATCACCGCCTCAGGCAGCTGTGACGTTGAACAGTTGCCATGGCTTTTTTCAACAAATGCCCTGAGTTAGGTCAGGGAAGACAAGCTCTATAAATGAGGCTTTTCCAAAGAGCTTCCAGACAGGTCAAATAGTGACAATTCTCTGGCAACAGGGCTTTATCAGAAGCTTGAAACATTCTGCAAACTCCACTGGCTATTAGACCACTGTCTTTCACAGCTAATATAATTGTGAGGCTGTTGGTTTATAAGGCTACTGCAGAGCTGGGGACAGGAAACGGCAATAGGGCAAGTTAAAACACTACAAAGCTTGCAATTCTTACCAAGAGTCAGATGTTTTTCTTGAACAAATACTCTTCAAATTGTTGCAGGTCCCTGGTTGATTCCCAGAGTTCGGAAAAAGTTGATTTTGGCAATTTTTTCCATGGCTCTTGTTGCTTTTAAAAAGGAGCAGATTTTCAGAGATCCTTACTCCACCATTCCAGAATTGCTTCCACGTGTAGTTTTAATGGTAGAAGACATGGTTATACTAACAACTAAGAAATGATAAAGCATGTCATTTGCTGAGTTAAAAGAGAGATGCTAAGAATAAATTTAATAAATATTAACATTTAAATGTACACTGAAATGACTTAGCACTGATACTATGAAATGGTCCAGAGGCTTCCCATACATTTCTTTTGAGAAAGTTTATATTCTTAATTCTCTTTCAATACCTTGTTCTAAAACAGGATGTTTTCTTTGCCTTAATTACTTCAGTGAAATATGCCATCCTTGACTTTTTCCATACTGCCATTACTTCCCAAATCATCCTCTCTAGTTAGCTATTTCATTCTAAAACAAACAGGACTGTGTGATTCAACTACTCTTAAATTTGTAAAAGTCCCATCTCTTATAGAGCAAGTCACAACCCTGATTTGTCCCAAAAATACTTTTCTAAGCCTTTTTCTCAGCTACCCTGTGAATGTCCTATACTCCAGTCAAATCCATGCTCTTTCACAAATCTACCCTTTGAGCTTAATTTCCTTTGCCTGAAATACTTTCTTCAAGTTTCAAACAACCAGAATCCTACTGTGCCTCTAAAATGAGTCAAATGTCTTCCTCAACCTCATTATCCCTCTCTTCCTTTCCTCTTCTTTGTGATGACACACATTTTGTTCTTGTAGCTTATTACATCATTCTCAGACTGCCCACAGGGCAGTGAACACATTTGTTTGCCTTTGCATTGTCCTTTCACCTATATACGTATATTTCAAGAAACATTTGTGGCACTGAAGAGATACTTAGAAATTTGTCTCTTTTCACTTTATATTAATATTTGCCATTTTAAAATAAGAAATAAAAGTAAGTACTTTCTAACTTAGTATGCCACAAAATCTCAAACTCTAGCTTCATAAGAGAGAAGTTGCTGGGTATTATTTGAAAAAAAAAGAAGGTCTCATTGTCAATTCAGGCAAATGCTGGCTAAATAAAACTGAACAGGTTTCTTTTCTGGAGAACTTTTTAGAACTTTTACCCTCTAATATGTGTGATCAATCTCCAATTTAACACTATGTTCCAAACAACTAATCACAGAATTCTTTTTTTGCGCTGAACATTCCAAGGGACTAGTATTCAGCAGAATACATTCGGAAATGCTGATCTAATTCTTTATTTAAAAGACTGAGTATAAGTAAAGTGATCTGTTCTTTGTCCACTTTAATCCACATTTGCTTTAAACCTAACTGCTGTGTCTATTACTTAATCAGCCAAAATTAAGTTCTACTATAAAACAAGAAAACCAAAACAGTAACAATAGCTTGAATGTGTGGCAATGATCCTCTATAGTATGCATTACAATGACTTAAAGTGCTTGTTAAAACAGACTGCCAGGCTCCACCCCCAGAGATTCTCACTTAGTAACTCTGGAGTGGTGCCAAGGTTCTGCATTTCTAATAAGCCTCCAGGTGATGCTGAGGCTGCTGATATAGAGACCACACTCTGATGTAAGAGTTTATTCTCTCAAATAACATGAAATCTTGAGACTAGTACAAAGGCTCCAGAATTATTAGGAACATCAGCTCCTTCTAACTTGCTGCTCCATCACCCTAGTTCATGAATTTCATCTTCCAGGTCACCTCATGGCCCAAGGAGACTGCTCAAATTCTAGCCACCATGTTAGCCATGTTATTAGCTTCCAGGCAATAGTAAAGGGGTAAGGGTAAAAGGGCACATCTCCAAACTAAGCTCCTTTTAAGGAGCCTTATTTGCAAAAACTTAGTCTAAAGGCTTCAACTAATAGAGAAAAATGGTAAATGCAATCTTTTAGTCAAGTACACTGCCACCCTAAATAAAACTTAATTACTACTAAGGAAGAAAGGAAGACTAGATTTTCAATAGGCATCTAGAGACTCTAACATACTACTTTAGTCTACATATACTTCAATCACTAAGTCCAATCGATCTGCCTGTTTCATATATTTGACCCATATGTTTCATCACTATTTCTCCTTCCCTAGATTCTTTTATTATTGCTCACCTACCTTATTATAATATTCTTTAAATCAGTCTTCCTACCCCTTATCCGGTAGTTGCTATAAGATGGATTTTGAGGGAGTTAAAACTGTTTAAAATTCTTCAATGACTCCACATTTCCTATAAAATTATAAAGTATGAGCATTTCTGTTTCACATAAAGCCCTCATCTATGACTATTCCCTGCATCATATTCTACTATTAAACACAACAAACTGTTTCTCTCTTCAGTGCTTTCATCATGCTTTTTCTGCTAATTAAGATACTCTTGACTCTCCTTCACTTTTACTACTCACCTTTAAGATTTAACTAACGTAGTACCTCCTCCAGAAACCTCTCCCTGAGACCCCTCTTCCATAGGATGAGTACCCTTCCTCTGAAATCACATAAAAGCTCCGTCCAGAGATATCACTGGATATTACATACTGTATTATGAGGATCTGTTTAGATCTCCAGCTTTCACAATAGATTACATGCTTTGTAAGTGTAAGGACCATGTTTGATTTATCTTTATGTTCCCAGAACTGGGTACAAAGCAAATGCCGACTATCATTTGTTGAACGTAAGTATTACCCTTCATCATGAACTGGCCTATACAATGAAAATCTGTGTTGGAACTGTCCAACAATCCAATAACCTTTTCTGTTACAAATAACATATTCTAATTATTCAATTTAAAAAAGTAACTACAAACAGAAAATCCTTCCTTAATAACTCTAGTTAAATGAAATTTCAAAGTATACAATTTTTTTTGCATAGCCAAACATCTTTTATTTTTCAGAACTAGAATACCAAAGACACAACCCAACTAGCTCCAGAACACTTCCAGACTTTTTATGTTTATTTAACCAAACTAAAAAAAGTTTTTAAAAGGAACATCTGCAACAACAAAATAACACTAATCTATCAATCAAAGTTCGCTTCACCATTTCTTGTCTTTTCCTTATGTTAATCCGAGCTCTCCACCTTTAATTCTTCTTCCTCTTTCTTTTGGGAATATTCAGTATCTTCTTCTGAGTTTGGAGATGATGTCTCCTTTGGTAGCACAAAACATTCAGCACTTACAACTTGTTCAGCAGTCACTGAACCTCTACAATAGATCAAGCTGCAAAGGAGGGATCTGACATTATCATCCTGCAAGAAAAAAGGGATGTTATAAAACAAGAATCAATAAAAACAAAACAAATGAACAAAAGGATAAATCTCTAAGGAGTATCCAATGCAAAAACACTTTCAATCAAAATCAATTTTGCCTATTTAGATCTTTAAAGATTTCTATCAAATTCAGCTAGTTTTTACTGGAAAAGAATTAATCCACTATGAAAACAATGGGATCAAATCACAGGGAAAAAAACAGAAGGAAAAAAAATCACAGTTGAAATATATTAAAAACAAGTGTCTATCAAGCAAGGTTCTCGTTCAGATTTGATGGAGAAATCAAAAGCTTCAAAGATAAACAAAAGCTGAAAGAATTCAGCACCACCAAACCAGCTTTACAACATATGTAAAAGGAACTTCCCTAGCAATCAAACTATAAGAAAAGAGAACAAAAAGAAAAAAGAAAAAAAAAACCCTACAAAAGATTGCTTT